TCATCGACAGCAGGTGCTTCGGATGGTCCCTTGGATGCGAAGTCACCATAGATAGATAGGAGATGACGCGAGAGTTAGGGGGGTGAGATGGAAGTATGAATGTTAAGATAACTTTTGATGAGGAAGACTTGTTATATCTCTTTTGCCTATGAGACTTGATATTTGGCTTCTACTTATGAGAACCATTATGTATGACTATTTATGGATCGACTATCACCTTTTCGTTCTTGCTAGTTGTGCTTGTTGCAAGTAATATATGATCACATTTGAGTTTTTCACCATAACAATCTGTATTTTCAATTCACACTTCATGACCAAACGTGTTATGTGCCAAACAATCTTTTCTGCCATAATAGGACAGTCCGGCCAGAAAAAATTTTAGACGGCTGGACCATGCCTTAGCAGTACTCTAACTTCTTATTCCCATGATAGGACAGTTCGGCCACCTTATAAAAGACAAGGCCGGACTATGGTGGTGTTGTCCGGCCAGCCCTATGTCTCGCACATGAAATATCAAGAGCCAGTGACATTTGCTACCACTAGAGTGTACAATTTGTATGTCTATAGATCTTATACAAATAGGAATACCACCCAAGGCACTATGGTGTGCCCCGTAATCTTATCGAGTTTGTCATTTCTAGCACACGACTTTGTGTTAGAGGCGAACATTCCGTGCACGATATGTACAAGCACGTATACTGCTATGGCATTGTGGACTATAGACTCAGTCTTATGCACCCATAGCATGATCCTGCACAAACTTCCTCCCCACTGGCGTCCCAATACTCTCATCACATGACTAATTCTTCAAAATCACGGCCACTATACGGTCAAACGCTTTCCATCTCCCTAGCCCTGTTTCTCTATAAGTAATGTCTACCTAAACCATGGCCACTATTCATGCTACTCAATATTTCTCAAGATTGATCAACCATTTATGTTTCCAAAAAAATTTATTATGAAAATATATTATGAGATTCATTTAATGGTAACTACCTTGTACATTTATGTTTCCAAATAAATATATTATGAACATATATCATATGATTAAATTGATGGTAACTACCTCGTATCATAAATGTTAGTAACCTTTCATGTATGTTTGCTCATAGTTCAAAGCATTTGACAATCTAATAAATCAAGAGTTGCATTGATTATGGTGTGGCGAGAGTTTTGTGTTTCGCATGTTTGGTGACTAAACATTCGTGAAAAAACGTGTGCAAGTATTGGTTTTGGTCCTAATAATAGTACAAAGTAACAAGTTTAACCATGGACCAACCAACCACGATCGACGAATAGTTGCCGAACTCGTTATACCCATGATAGGACAGTCCGACCACCTTATAAATGACAAGGCCGGACTATGGTGGTGTTGTTCGGCCAGCCCTATGTCTCTCACATGAAATATCAAGAGCCAAGGGACACTCGCTGCCACTAGAGTGTACAATTTGTGTGTCTACAGATCTTATACAAATAGGAATACCACCCAAGGCACTATGGTGTGCCCTGCAGCCTTATCGAGTTTGTCGTTACTAGCACATAACTTTGAGATTACTCTAGGTACAAGGACTAACACTGAGATTCGACTTAGTACAACTGCAAGCAAGTTCATTTTGTTGGCTGCATCCAAAGAGTTGTAGTTACCTCCTACATGAAGTGGTAAGCATAGCACCACCAAGTCTAGTACCAGGAGTTGTACTTACAAGCAATGCTAATAACTAACATTACATTAACTTCCAAATTATCCAAACTAAAAAAGAAATGACTAAAGCTTGAGCTAAGATAATGACATGCAGGACATCAAATGCACTCTGCCTCATCTTCTTATCAGGTGCTGCAGGCTCAAGTGGTGGTGCTGCAGGCTCAAGTGGTGGTGGTCTGAGAACATCCTGACAACCATAGAAGGCTGCATAAGCTTCTTATTCCGTCAGGTATTTTTTGTGGCAAGCTCCCTTGAACTTATCCACTTCAGCATGTGCATCATGCCAGTCGGAGTAGACACCAGGGGTCCGACCATGATGCACAACATACCACGGGATAGCTTGCTAAGCTATCAAATATATTGATTAGATTAGAAAGAAAAATTCAAAGTTATTTGTTGCCTGCATATAAAAATAAGTAGCAAGAGACACATCACTAGCAAAGAGACATATATGTGCTCACTTCATTGGTTAATTAATGAACTAGTTTGCAGCAATAAATTCACCCATTTAATTATGAAAAATCATTTAAAGTAACACATATTGTTACTCCAAATTCACCCATTTAAAACAATTTAAAGAACATATCTATACAATTATGCAAAATAATAAAAAGAAAACTCCTAAAATTTGGTTTAATTACCGGACCCCATTATTATTTAAATAATCTCTAAATCTGCAGCTACATATATTATTATACAAGAAATATTATTGTATGAGATAATTAAAAAACTAGTTTATATCAAGGAAACTATATCCATTAGGTAAATGCAAGAAGTTAATATTAATGAGAGAAACAAATATGTACTAGATGTGGCTTACTAGGGCGTGGAGGAGGCTTGGAGAAGCACGTGGAGGAGGCTTGCTGGCATGCCAAGGAGATGAGGGGGAGGACGGCAGGGTAGGGGGTGGATTGGGGGTCGAGGAACGGTGGGGGCGGGGGATGGGGGGAGGAACGGCGGGGGCAGGCCTAGGGGGCCGGCCGGGTAGATTTGGTGCACTGGGCGGCAACAATGGTGACTGACGATGAGTGTGAAGGCCAACATGGACGACATGTCCTTATCCACTAGCGAACGAGGGCAAATTCGTCCAAAGGGTGCTAAAGTTTTCGAAACAGACTGTAGGACTGTCCGACCGAGCATAACGTCAATAGGCCGGATAAGGTGAGCAGCAGTATTTCTTAGTGTAACTTGGTAGGACGGTCCGGCCATCCAAATTTTGAACACGATGGACAACTTTGCTCGGCCGCCCCGGGTATGTATTTTCAGGGGTGGTTGCTTACGTCAGCTGCCCCTGAAAATGATCTTCTGCGGCGGTTGCTTATGTCAGTCGCCTCCGAAGATCATCTTCAGCAACGGTTGACTTAAGAAAACCGCCGTTGAAGATGCTTCTCCTATATATGCGCACTTGGGCGAAATATTTCTAAGTTTCTGGCGCGCTTGTTCGAAATTGCAGCGAAGCGCTGCCAAACTTTTCCTTGGCGCATTTTCATCTTCACCGTCCACCGCCGCCGGTGACCTCCGCCTCCCACGTGTTCATCCACTGCCAGAGGTCCCGGCGCTCCCCCTGTGGTCCCCGGCGCTCCCGGCCATCCCGACGTTCCCCCTATGGTCCCGGCGCTCCCCCAGCGTCCTTGGGGTCCGTGCGTCCGTCCGCCGCCACCGGAGATCCTTTGACGCTCCTAGTGGTCCCGGCGCTCCCCCGACGGTCCCTCGACGGTCCTGGCGCTCCCCCGTCGCTCCCCTGGTCTGTCTTCCTCGGTGCTCCCCCATCTTCTTCCTTGCGGCCGGTGCTCACACCTCTTCTTCCTCGGTGCCATCACCTACGCCGGTCTTTCACCAAAGGTTGATTCTTTTTAATCTTATTAGACAAGAAATGCTACATCTATATATTGATGTTTATTACCTAGCTAAAATATATATATATATATATTGATGTTTAGAAATGCTACATATATATTGATAGAAATGCTACATATATTGATGGAATCTATGAAGTTTAGAAATGCTATATATATATATATATATATATATATATATATATATATATTTATGTTTAGAAATGCTACATTTATAGTCCACATTGATTCTTTTTAATCTTATTTCGAATGTGCACTACAAAAAATATTTATAACAATACGCCCTTCTGTCACGACTTAGATAAATTCATCCACATTTGTTAGCGATGGATAAAGAAATGACAACAAACGAAGCAGATAAGTTGGAGTGGTTGTCAACGGACGACGACGGCAACAACATGTTGTCGACCTCATTGGAAGAAGCTTCGGATCCTAGTCCTAGGCCTGACCGTAGGGCTTTGAGGGCCGAACTTGAGGACCCAGAATACGATCCAACCCAGGATGTAAGCCTATACGTGCTATCACTTGACCACATTTATTTTTCCCAGAAGTGTGTGAGCTTTTTACTTATTTTTTTATATCTATAGGTGCATGTGTCTACCCGTATGCCTGGGCAAACCGTAGAGCTCCTCAAAGAGAGAAACGGAAGCGAGGACAAAGAACGCGGAACAAGTTCCCTAAAGGACGGACTATTGTTGTAGAAGTGGTTAGCCCTATCGGCGAGCCCATACAACCAGATGGCGTACGCTCCCGCTTTGCAAGAGCGATAGGAGCGGCGGTCCGGGACATTTTGGGTTGCTCAATACAGCATTGAAATGATGTGCCAGATAGTGAGAAGACAAGATATGGAAGAAGACTATGGAGGCATTTAGTTTCCCTCCTGATTCGAAAGGGCTCATCAAGAAGTTGGCAATGAAACAGGCAACAAAAAGTTTTCGAGGTTGGAGGTCCCAACTAAATACTAGTTTTCGAATGAAGGGCTGTTCAAGGAGTTTGGGGAGATCAAACCTGATCAATGGCAAAGGTTTTGTTAACAGAAGTCCACACCTGAGGCCTTAGCCTTGAGTGCCTTGAACAGTGAGCTGGCGAGCAAAAGCCAGTGGCTGGACGCTTGTTTGTTTCAGTTGGTGGCTGAAATTTCAGACATGTACCTAGCTTAAATACATGGAACGGTACCACGTACACCACACATGCATATAGTATATGCATCAATGCGCTCCGATCCTGACAAATATCGGGATCATCTTTTTTTGCGAAAAAATATCGAGATCATCGACGATGCACGCACGCACGAACTAGTAGCACGTATCTTCATAGCTTTCGGAGTTTGTTCTCAGGACAAACCTTTCTGTACATGGCTCCAACAAGCAGATGTTTCTTTCGCTCGTCCTCTCTTGCGTGCAGTCTGCCTCTATTATTTTCGTTGAACAATGCAGGCCACTTCACTGAACTCTTGAGCACGTTTTTACTACCATGAACTGTGACTCTCGATCAGAACGTGAATGTCCTGTTGCTTGACTTGGTTGTTTTTCCACTTTCAAGTTCCAATGTTCCAAGCGCGACTCCTCTTGATCTGACAGCACTGATCCAAGCAGAGAACAGAGGGGAAAAAATGTATATGACATTGTGGTGTCTGGTGGGAACAGAATTTGCCCTGTTTTGGGCACTTTCACTTCAGAGATAGACACAGATTTTGCCCTAGAGCCTACAGAGAATAATCCAACTATAGTTAAGTATGCATTGAGTACAAGAGATTGCAGCCGAAGTTGTTGATGATAACCAAAAAACAAACACGTACCACATTGTCTTGTAAAACAGTGCTGCCAGATCTGCAAGATCAAGAAAGTTTTACGACTTCAGACAATCCTTTGGGAATAGAAACGTCTGTCATCAATCGCTTCATTTTTTTTTAATCACAGATAGGAGTATGAAACAAGTATGCACTCCAGAGGACTGCAAGTAGTGGCCTACAACATAAGAACGAGTTTGCTTTAGAACATATAAAGTAATATTCAGATCTGCAACAAAGTTGAGTAAGGAATGGAGAATTACCAACAATGCGGCCAATGGAGCTACGATCCCTCAGCGATAAGACCCAGCACACAAGAGGGGCTCCTGCAGTTCAGACTGGTCAGTGCTCCATGCAGTTTGTGGCAACTGTATTTGGTTCTCTATCTTACATGAACTTGACTGTGTGCAGCATGCTTTGAACCGCTGCATCCTATCACCTTTGCTCTCAGATGTTCAACATCATCCCACCGTTCTGCTTCTGCATACGCATTTGATACTGTGATAACATCCCCATCATCCATTGGCATCAACTCATGCATTCTGTGAACAGCTTTGTCAGCAAGGTCAAAGTGCCCATGCACTCTGCATGCAGCCATAATCATCTTCCACAGCACAGAATTTGCCTTGATGGGCATATCCTCGATCATTTCATAAGCCTCATGAACTTTACCATAGCGACAGAGCATATCGATTATACAGCCATAGTGCTTCACACTTGGCACAATTTTGTAGTCTTCGATCATGCTCCTGAAATACACTTTCCACTCATTCAATAGGCGCTGTGGCTGCAGGCAGTCAGAACACCCCAAAACGTGACATGATCAGGCTCAGTATTCATAAGATCAAACAGCTTAAGTGCATCATGTGAGTGGCCATGGACTGACAACCGAACAATCATCGTGTTCCAGCATGTAACATCCTTGATTGACATGATGTCGAAGACTTGTCTGGCGAGCTTCAAGTTGCCACATTTTGCATACATATCAACCAGCTGCAGCGTTGCCAACATACCCATCAGCTGGTGATGTGTTTATAAAGTTCGCCCTTAAAAATATGTATGGATTTCTTACTTTAAATGACTATGTTACAAACATTTTCAACCATTGCACGTATTTGTTATTTAGTGTTCACAGCAAATAAAGTGACTAATGGGAATAGTCATAGCAAAGCTAATAATGCCAACCACATAGTTTCTGCTTGCTATGTTGATGTAATAATTTATAGCGGTCTTAATATTCTTTAACATATATAATTGAACAGTTTTAAAATGGTATATCCTATGGTTTTAAGTACTAGCCTTCCAAATAAGTGAAAAAAATAAAAAGATAGATAAAGAAATCTTTTACATATACAATTAGAGAACTAAGAAGATAATAAATATATCATATATTACCTACATCCATGGAAAACTTATTATAACCCACATGTAGCGTGTTCTTGTTTTTTTACCTCAAAGAAACTTCAATATAGATATCCTTAATTTTCATACATGTTTGGGATATTTTGTATGATACTGAAACATGGTTCTAAGTCTTTGTCATCTACCTATATTGTAAGATAGGGTGATCCACTCTCTCCATTGATGTTACCTTGTAGGAGATGCTCTATCAACCATGTTGTGCAATGCTAGGGATTGTGTACATATTAGAGGATTAATCCCCCATCTTATAGATGGAGCTATCACAAACTTATAGTATGCGGATCATACCTTCATCTTTTATTGAAAATGCTAGAAGGTATATATTGCTAACATCAAGTTTCTATAATACTGTTTTGAGGCCATGTCTAGTCTAAAGATCAACTATCAAAAGAGTGAGGTGTTTACACTGGGAATTAATGAACATGAGTAGGAAAGTATAGTAGATGCTCACTACTACAGCAATCTTAACCGAAGCGGGCAAAAAGCCTTAACCGAGGCGGTTTTCCGGCTCATGGCTAATCGTGACTTAACGGAGATGGTTGGCCCCCCGCCTCGGTTAATCAAATAAGAAAAACTAAAAAAATAAAAACCCATGGACAAGCCAGCGAGCCCATCCACAAGCCTGCCGAGCCCATCCACGGGGCGCCGCTCTGCTCGCCGGATCCGCACCGCCGCTCGCCGGATCCGCCACGGAGGAGGAGATCCGCGCCACCCCCCACTGGATCCGCACCGCGGCTCGCCGGAATCGCCACAGAGGAGGAGATCCGCACCGGATCCGCGCCGCACCAGCCTGGAGCCGCCCCTGCTCGGAGAGGAAGCCGCGCGAGGGAGGGACAGGAAGCCGCGCCCGCCGTGGCCGCACCCGCCGCGACCTTCGAGGCCGCGAGGCCACACCCGCCGCGCCCGTCGCACCCTTCGAGGCCGCGCGAGGGAGAGGGTCGGAGGGAGGGGTGCGCTCGGGGAGGGAGAGACGCGCAACTGCGCTGGGTTGGGGAGGACCGGAGGAGGCCGCCGCCTTGGGTGGCACCAAAGGCAGGAGAGTGCGATGGGCTCCTGAGGGAGCGCCCACGCTAGGGAGCAGGAGGAGGAGCGAGGGAGGGGGCGAGCGGCGCGTGGGAGGAGAGCGGGGAAGGGGCCGGCATCAGGTAGCACGAAGGAGGCGGGCATCGCGAGGGAGGTGGACGGGCGGCAGAGATTCCGTCGTGAGGGAGGCGTGCGTGACTTCTTGTTTTCCTTTTTTTTCGGCTAGCAATTTGGCGACGTCTTGCGCGGGAGGAAATTTTCTAGGGCGGGAGGAAATGTTTTGTGCTGCTGTTTCGCTCCGTGGCCAGGCCAATGTGAGCGTGAGATTAATTTTTTGTTGGAATTTTTCTATACTGACAAAGAAATGCAGGTACCAACAGAAAAAAAAATGAATTTCGCTGTTGGTGGACCACTCACACAGGGAAAATGTCTTTTTTCTGTCGGTAGTTTAATTTTCTAGCAGTAAACACCTTACCGACAGTGTAATTATTATTTCCCTATTGCTGAAGGCCGACCGAGAGGGAAATAAACTTCGAGTTGTGACATGTTCCAGGTTAATCTATAAAAAATTAGATTATTTCTATGTGTTACATCGAAACCGACAAGGTTATATTTATTTCTCTATCAGTTTGTCCAATTGTTAATTGATATTTCCATGTGAGTTTTCATGTAATCAATAGAAAAAAATCATCAGGCACATAGGGAAATTTTAGTTTCTAGTAGCGTTATGTTGGTCATGTGATATAATCAGGCACAGAGACCGTCACATAATGAAATTGGACAAGCTTTGGGACATACGGTCACATAATGAAATTGGACAAGCTTTGGGACGTTTTTTATGACATAAACTTGTTTTTGTCACAAGTTTTTCATGCCTCCAAAACAAACATCATAAACTCATTGATTTAGTGACATTTTGACCAGATGTCATGCCATAAATGTCATAGAATGACACATTTCTTGTAGTGTTAGGAGGGAGAGACGCGTGACTGCGCGAGTGGGAGAGAGAGAGGAGTGACCAGAAACCCTAACCTCCTATATTTATACTCACTCCAGCTATCGGGCCTCGCTTGGGCCTGGAGAATATTAACCAAGGCGGGCCTTATAAGAATTCCACCTCCGAAAATGGGGGTATTTTTGGGGCCCACCTCAGTTAATAGATTTTAGGAGGCGGTTATTTTTAACTACCTCGGTTAATAAAAAATGACTGCCTTGGTTAATCCATGCATTAACCGAGACGGTTTAAAAGCCTGCCCACCTTCGAGACCTATTTGCAAACGCTGCGCAAAAGTTTTTGTGTAGTAGTGGCTTTAACGATAAACAAGGCACTTTCCTATGAAATACCTAGGCATTGCAACTGATAAGCATTATATGAATATGGAGGAGTTTGGATATGTCTACCAGAAAGTAAAGAAGAGAGTACCAACATGTCATAGTTGTACACTATCGTATGGAGGGAAATTGATTATGAGTGAATCATGCCTAAGTTCAATCCCTAACTATATGTGATGGGTATGTTCCTTTTTTAGGAGTACAAATGGAAATTACTAGAGAATTTTTATAGCATGTGCAAGGAATGAAAAAAAGGCATCATATAGTGAAATGAGATATTATGTATGGCTACACCAGAAGAGATGGGTGGAGTTTGTTTTACTAAAACACTAGAGTAATGAATAAGTGCCTTCTAGCAAAATGGACAAACTAGAACAGGAAGGCAATAGTGCATGTTGTAAGTTTGCTCATAAACAAGTATTCGATAGAAAAAAGTTTCTTCAGTTCTAACAATAGAGGTGGTTCACAGTGTTGGTTTCGGCTACATGAAGCTCAAAAGGAGTGTCTAAGATGGTTAAATCACATAGTGAATAATGGAAAAAAGACAAGATTTTCACTAGATGTTTGGTATGGAGAATGCCATTTCAAAAATCAGGTTTCATATCCTATATGAAATATATGACTAGTAGGATTAGAATGTGGTGAAAGTAATGTAGGGAGATAATCTAAAATTAACTTTTAGGAGGAATTTTGGCACAATTGAATGTCAAGAATTGGATGAACTGACAGATCTAATAGAGTCAGTTATACTTAATGAGGAGGCAGATACATTATCCTATGAACTTGAGAAATATGGAAAAATTACTACAACATCCTTGTATAGAACTTGAATTTCCTGGAGTGACGAATACAACTTTTTAGAGGTTTGGATGGCTAACTAAAAATTAGAGTGTTTTATGGCTTTTTTACAATGATCGATTATAACGCCCAGTACAACTTGTCAAACGCAATTGGCTTGGGGAGGAGAAGTTAAGTTGTGTGGACTGAGAGAAACATGCGACCATATTGTTTTGAGCGCACCATTGCACATTTTGTTTGGTGTTGTTATAAAGAAGTGCTTGGGTGGAATACTACGCCCATGAGCACAGAAGAGTTCCAATTGGATATCCTGTATATGCTCAAAATAAAAGGAGGAGATAGATTTTGATTTTATTTTCTAGAGTATATAGATTGGAGTTGTTGTTTGATAAGAAATGGTTTAGTATTTAGAAATATTGTTGTGACTTCACGTCACCATTCATTGTTCTCTGATTTTTATGTAGACATGGAACATTCCCCAGAAGGTGTAAGATCGAGGATGGGTGCAACAAGCAGTGAAGAACTTGATGGCCCTTCTATCCTCTTTGCTGTCGGCTAACTAAAGCTTCTATTTTAGTTATAGTGGGTATATTTTGGTGTCCTGATTATGCACTAGTTTCATCTCCTATGTTTCTTCAATATAGTTTTAACTTTTAAGGTAGATGGAGTTTAGAGGGAATTTTTGTACTCTTGTGATAACTTTTGTTTCATAAGTTTGAGTGACCAAACCCTATAAGCTAGTATCCCAGCAAAAATTTGCTTTCTATATGAAGTTGGGACAATGCCAATATATATATGGTTCTAAAAAACAAAGATACTAGTATTAGAAAACTTCACAATGGATGCCATCGAGACTTTGTGATGCAAATGATTGGATAACCCATGGCACTGCACGTTTTCGAATATAATGACGATGATGGAGGTGGTTAGGGTTAGGGCCTTGGGGTTTTCCATATATGATCTCTAATCCCCAATATTCTTAGAGGAGAGGGTAGCTAGGGTTGCAAGTTGCAACTAGAAATTAGTGACGATAGCCGAGGAAACAATATTAGTTGGTGGTGCCAACTGTCAAGAGTCCATTAGGTAGCAAAGGTGCGGTGTTAAAAATGTTTGTAGCAGACTAGCAGGTAGGAACAGTGTGGTAATGGATTGCCTGCAGGTGGCTGGAGCTACTAGCTCGCTGGTAGAGGAAGGGAAGATTGCAATGCGGTAGGGCAACTATGACATCACTGGAGTAGCCAAGGGCATCAGTAGCATGCTATGGTAGAGGGTGGATAGAGCAACTTGTGAGGTAGTGGCCCCTAGGCAGTAGTGATGTGTTCCCCTAACATGCAATGGTCATTGTTTAGCTTACACCCTTCTTAGTTTGGATAACTATCTTGCAACCATGATTTTTTTTATTTTTAACACTTTTGGCAAACAAATTTTAAATCTAACACTGT